TTATATATATACATATTACATACGTATATATATTGAAAAGTTTCTAATAATTTCCAATTTTATTTAACATTAAGAAGTTAGGGCTTTCCAGATGGTTTTGTTTGCATTCTCATTGATCCTCCCTATAGGTTGGAGGACATGGCTTTTGTAGAAGCTGCTTGTTGGAAATGAAAGACTGGATATAGAAAATTTTTGTTTAAGCAAGTGGGTATTAAAGATTAACTATTTCTTTTTTCAAATTACTCTTACTATTTTTTTATTAATTAACTGTTTCTCTTCCTTATATTTTCTTACATGACTGTCCTGAAATATGAGGTGCAGTTCAGTGAAGTGTCCTAAACATGAGTGACCTCTGTGGACAAACGCTCGCTATCGACTCTAGGGAAAGTCATGACTCTACTGCGAAAGCTATGGCCCAGACTTCACTCTTCCTTTTGTTTTCCTTTGAAATTAGGACTGAGATACATGCATGTTTATACAAACGCGTTATGTAAGGAGTACAGACATTCAGAATCTGTAGTTAGGTGTCACATCTGTCTATCCTAATTTACTTAAAACATTTCCCTCTGCATCAAGTATGAGTATCTTCTTTCCTCCTGCTGTTTTTAAAAGAGAGTGTGTCACACTCTTGCTGAGTTCTCTTTTTTAAAAGTTTAGTGGAAGGGGGATTTTCAGGCCATTTTCTCTTGCAATTCTGAGAGCCAGGTACCCGTGGTTTCTGTGGAGGGAACAAAGTCAGAGAGATGCCTTGGGGAAAGGCAGAGAGTGCGAGGGGGTGGGATTCAGGGTTGGATGCCTGGAGTAGCCTGAGGTAGGGGGGTGCGAATATTCTTTACTACCCCAACAGAGAATTATTTTTCTGTAAGCAAGAGGAAAATTCCAGCTGTTTTTTGGTAATACTATATTGTGTTTGTTTTTATTCAGCATTTCATTGCAAAAATTTTGTTTAGCGCCATGCCAGGTGCTTGACTTGGTTTCCACTGAGCCCAACAGAAAGTAGGCATTTTTAAAAGTCTTATGCCTGCAGTGCGAGACTGGGAAAACTCTGTGTTACTGCTTTAGATTTAACATTAAGCAGTGATAAAGACAGTTAAAATCTATCAATACTTCAAGACATTTGAAATACTGTCGTTTAGTAAGAGCACTAGCAGAAGTAAATTTATTTTGCCATTGATACTTTCAAACTATTTTTAATATCCTTTTAAAAATGTGAAGTACATTATTTTGGATTATTGCATTATATTATGGTACAGGAGCAAAACATGAATTATTAAAACTCCCCTTTTTTATTTCTGAACTAGCTGTTTCTGATGTTTATATTACTTTGTTTCTTTTTTTTTAAATACATCACCACTACCACAGTTGTAAACAGAAGGAATAGAATTTGTTTCTGTACATCATGGAGAAAAATGCAACGAGGAAAATGCATTGATTCTTTTTCTCTCACGTGTGAACAAATGGGCAGTGAATATAACTAGTCTATAGACACCCAAATAGTTACAATAATTTTGATAATCCTGAAGCTTCCCCATCTACTTACTCCAAAATTTCCTTATAAGATAGAAATGTTTTAAAGCAAAAACTGATTTTCACCGTGAAAACAAGCAGTCTTATGATTTGGAATATTTTCATAGCCAGAATGCCGTTTGCAATGTGAAAATAGAGGCATGGAAAAAGACAGAACTATTAAACAAATAGCCTGAAAAGTTGTTCAGTGTTTTCGTAATTTGAGTCTTTCTGAAATGTGTTATTTTACAGAACTTTCTGCATTTTCATTCTTCTCCTGGTGTGTCAGTACAGTCAGCACGTCATATCCTGCACCGCTAAGAATACTTGCCACCCAGTGGCAGGAAAAAGATAGTAGCCCACTAGTGTACACGTACTGAAAACACTAGAGGAAAATACTCTGCATGGCATTTTCACTGACTGCTGTTGCAATGTTTGATGTTGCAGGACGGATGGTCGCAGTATCACTTTGTAGCCTCATCTTCAACAATAGAAAGGGATCGGCAAAGACCGTACTCTTCATCACGCACGCCCTCCATCTCGCCCGTGCGCATGTCTCCTAACAACCGCTCAGGTAAGACCAGGCTTTCAGGACTGAAGTAAAGACAGAGGTAATCCATCACTGTCCTTTTCCTTCTTTAAACAATGTCACTGGCATCCGGATTTGTTGTTAACAACGGTGGAGGGGCACAAAATGTATTCTTTACTCTTACCTGAATTATCTGTTCAAAACAGGAAATTTTTTTTTTTATTAACACCTTCTAAAATTTTACAGCAGAAAGGATATTCCATACCCTTTTGTTACGAATTCTCATGCAGTGTTTTCCTGATTGGGATTACCTGACTAGATCTCAGGGCAATGGTGTCCATTTGCAGCATGAGGAAATTCTGTTACTCGCTTTGCTAGTCATGAAAACCGCTGTGTTGTTTGTGACCACTCTGCACACTTAGCAGAAGTTGGAGGATCCACATTATTTTTTTGTCAGTTTTTATTCTGATTCTATGTGTATGCGTATATAAGTGTGCATACACGTGCATATGTAAGTTTCACAAAAGATTGACTACAGGTCTTCATGTAACCTTGATGACATATTTAGACCAGCTGTCATTAATTCTGTATGATCCATACAATGAATTAATGTAAGTATCTCAACTTATGCCGCAGTGTTAATTAATTTTTCTATTCAGAAATCTGGGCGTTTTCCCCTCAGTTTATTCTAAGGTAGAACATACCTTGGTTACATAAAACCATTCCCAGTGAAAATCTTCTAAGACAAACGGAGTAAAACAGTCAGCCTTTCCATGTGCTTTTTACTACTTGTTCAGTCAAATGCTGTCATTCATAGGTATACCAAGAGTTTAGGATTAAAATTGGCCAAACTGATTATTGCGATCAGCTTTGTGCCATAGTTTTGTTTTTAAGAAAATTGTTTTGTTAATTATCTAGAAGCTGCATCTTAGTCCTGCAGAACAACCACTGAGGAAATTTGAAAATGTAGCCAGAAGTACAGTAAGAGCTGCTATTCAGTTCTCAAAATCTGTCATTATACAAGTCCGTAAAGGGCTCTTGTTCCTTTTTTTGTTCTCCAAAATCTCATTTTGACTATAAGTGCAAGGCACGTGAAATGTCTGGCCCTGAGATCGTAGTTCTGTCTCTTGCCAGAACTGTCTCCTCATTTCCGCTACTCTATTGCTTAAAGAACATATACTTAAAGAAATTTTGGATTAAATCTTACTGCCATCATCAGTTATCATAAGACTGGAAGAGGACAAATATAGTGGCTGTTTCTGAAGGAAGAGGAGCCCGTGTAATTACAGACCAATCAGCTCAACTTCATTCTAGAAAATTGCTGGAACAAATAATCACAATCTAGGCACCTCAAAGATAGTAGGAACATAAGATACTGCTTAACTCTGGGAGTATCTGTTTCTACACAGTAGTATAAGTTACTGTCTGTCTGGTAGTATCCATATCAAATCCAAACATTGGTTCGATACAATTTGTTCTTATAAAATCCACCTGAATTCCTGCTACAACATACTTAAAACGCGTTGTGGAAAGAATAGTCAATAAATGAAATCTACTGTAATCAGTAAAACTCCTTCACACAAGATTTTTATAGGCAAGCTAGGGCAAGCTAACAAACGGTCCAGAAAATGTCATGTGTGGTAAATACAAAACTGACTGAAAACCATTCGCAAAGAATGCGTATTGCTTATTGCCAAAACAGAAGAATGCTTTGCTTGGAGGTTTGCCTTCGGTCCAGTACTCTTCAGTGGTTTCATGAATGACCCAGATAATATACAAAGAACACCTATTACCTTTGCGGGTGACATAAACCTGGGAGAAACTCACGTACCTTGAAAGGCATTATTGGAATTCAGAATGATCCTGAGAACTGGAGATAGTGTCCAAAGGGGAAAAAGATCCAGTCCTTTACGAATAAATTATAAGGAGAATATCTGGCTAGACAAAAGTTCTTTAGAAATTATTTAGGTTTTTTTGTCAGTTGCAAACATGAGCCAGGAGATGGAGAAATCAGAATATGAGGACACATGGAATGGACTGTAATTGTTTAACTCAAATAAGAGAGATACAAGATGGGGGCAGTGGGCAGAGGTACGCTTCAAGTACTCAAGCACATAACAGCCAGCTGTGAAGAGGAACGGCATGAACTTTCTCTACTTTCATAGCAGACAAATGGAAATAATGAGCAGCAAGGAGTCAGGCTAGACATCGGGGAACAGTAGGAAAACAAAGCACTGGAACAGACTGCTTGGAGCAGTTGTGTGTGTGGTCTTTGTCATTAGAGATCTTTAGTTTTAGATGAAAATCTGTCAAGAATTATTCTGGTATACTGGATCGTACCTTGGGGTAAAGAGTTGAAGTAAATGAACTCACAATGTCCCATCCATCCCTAGGAGTTAGTGATAAGATGCTTTAACTAGCATAGAGACCTCTGTCTTCTTTCCTGTATCCTTTAAGAATAAGAGCAGAAAGCCTTCATATCAATTTTCAGTCTAATGTCAACCAATAATTTTATGTCTGCTTCCAGTAAAAACTCTGAAAGAGGGCACTTCTGGATTTTAACACTTCCCAGAAAGCAGTTGTTCTCACATGGGAGGAAAGAGAGAATTCCCGCAGGGAACAGAGAGAGATGGTTTTGTCTTTATCAGTCAATTTTGTTCAAAACACCAGAGTGCTTAAAAGCATTACCAGAGTATTTGAAACAAAATGCATCCCTCTGTTAGCAACTTTTTCAAGGTTTGCATTCTGCTTTGTTCCCTATTAGACTCGAGCTGCCATTAGCTGATTTGGTAATTTAATGTCATGTTTCTTTATATCTACTGGATTATCAGCTTTAGAATTACATCACTATTGACAAGCAATTTAAAAGCAATCCCCAGTTCTAATTGCTTCGTACGAAAAACCATCTGTCCCACATTTGCTCTGTGAATTCAGAGGCCAGGACCAGCAGAAACAATGTAAGCAGAATTCAACATCACTTGTGCTTCCCTACTCCTTAACTAAAAAATGTAAGGTAGTTTAGAGATGCTGAAAGACATAACTCATGATGAAACTTCACAAATGAACTTGTCTTACTCTTTTTTTTTTTTCCTTTTTTTTAAGCAAGGACATTGTTATTGCTTTTGAGGTTCTTTTGACATATCAAATACCTGGGTGGAGGCAGGGGAGGGAGTGGAAGTAAGCACCAGCACTTTAGTTATTTTTGTACCACTGTGACTTCACGAGGCTCTGGGGTGCTCTGCCACTCACCTTGTACTCCTTCCCCTGCCCTCCACAACAGGGAAAGTGGATTGTATCTACCAACACCTAAATATATTGAAGTCAGTTTACTTGAAAGCCATTATTTTTTCCTCTGCTTTTCTCCTTTTCCTGAGCATCGCAAGCTCTAAGTCTTCATGATCTGTGCCAGCGATCGCCTTCACATTTTCCAGTGCATGAGAATCAAGTACAAACCCAGTTCTCCTCCTAGTCACCTCATACTTCCCTGCTTTTACCATACCACAAGTATTGGTGATGAAGGATTTAGTTTTAATGATACCTTAAAGTAACAGTTGTTGTTTTAATGGCAAATGTTCATACATAGATATTTAAAGACAGATAAATTATTTGAGTTACCTTTAAGTGCTAGGCATTCTTTGCTATATGTCTTCTATGAAAAACATCTTTCTTTTCTTCCTGTCCCCATTAGAATCATTTAATGGGTTTGTTTATTTTCAACAGAGAAGGGAGAAAACCATTTTATAAGGGTTTTCCACACAGTTGAAAGTTAATGGTCTTTTCAACAGAAATAAATTAACCATTTTGAGAAAAAAATGGAAGTGCCTATACAGAAAGTTTTGACAAGATAAAGAAATTAAAAAGCTAAAGGGGAAGAAAAAAATCATTATTATTGTACTTTTTTCTTAATGATCATCTTAGATGTTGGGTGTAAGTGAAAAAAGTAAAACATTCAGAGAGCAAATGATGTTTGGAGTTGATTGTCCCATGAATACATTTGTCCTGTATTTGAAATAACAGCACCTTTTCTTTTCTTCCATAATGGGGTAGTGTTTCTTCAAACAGCTTAATGTTAGTATGGTAACAAATCTAAACTTTACTAAAATGTTTACTCTAGAGTTAAACACTACATTCAGTCATATGTGGCAAGAAAAAATAAATCCATTTTTATGATCTAGCAAGTGCCCCAGCCTCACCTCGGGAAATGATCAGCCTAAAAGAAAGAAAAACAGACTATGAATCAACTGGAACAAATGCCACTTACCATGGAAATAAGGGAGAACACACTTCTAGGAAAGACACCATGACAGGTGAGATTATGCTTGCATAATATATAAAAACATATATAAAAATCAGCTGTGATAGACCACTGATTTTATAGGCTTGGCTAGGTTTACTGTATTACAGAAAAGAGTCAACCTGCTTTGGTTGATTCCAAAGTTTTAGCCACCTTGAGAAATACAACTGGAGAAATATTTGATCCTAATGAATACAATGCTGTGTGAAAATGATTTGTAAAGACCATGTTTCTTCACAGAGGAAAGATTCTAAAAACAATTTGACATTTCTTTTTAATTTTAAGTTTGTTTTCGTTTCAGAAGGAAGTGAGTAAATCCACCTTCTATTAACTAGCATTGTTTCTGAAGCATGACAATGGTTGAGCACATGCAGTCTTTCGCAGGGAATGGCTTTCCAGGACCAGTTAGCTTATTTTTGCACGTCAGTCATTCCTAGGAAATTCAGTAGCAGTTTGTAAAGCCTATCCCTGTTACTTTCTCAGCTGGGCTGATGTAAATGGAACAATTTTGTCTGTGTATGTTATGGCATCTATTGCAGGTTTCACTAAAGGCCTCTCTCCCCTAGTGAGCTCATTAACCTGTTAGCATTTCAGTAATTACAAAATTGAGTGCTTTGCCTAGTACTACACCTCTTTGTTACTTCTCTTGCAAAATATGTGTTGGTCTCCATCACCATTGCACAGGCTTGTATAACCTCTGTTGAACAGTTTCATACATTTATACAGCGCCGAGCATCATGGTGTCCTCTCCTCCAAATGCTACCTCAGGGCAAGCAAAAAATCACAGTGAGGAGTCACTCCGCGCTTTCTCAATGCCTGTTACCTTTTCCCACGCCCTCTGTAGAGGTCTTGCTCGGGGGATGCCAGAATGGGCTGTCTTTGTGTTCCTTGGCTCAGTGGGGACACCAGTAGCATGCTGACTCAGCATCAAGCCATCCATACTAGCTTTCAAGACCATATTTAGGATATGATGATACTCATACTACATGTACTGTGTTACACGCTATTGTGTAATCAAAACCTAAAGACCAGCCTTTGAATTTGTGTGAAAATGCAATACAGAACATTAATTTGCATGAAAGTGAAAATCTGAAGAAGAGGAATGACAGTCGAGCGTTTGGAAACCACAGAAATGAGGAATGTCCTAATCAGCATCTGCAGTGTCCTACGTGAGCTTGCAGCAGATTCAGTCAAGGTACTGCATTTTATGTATCTGTAATATTTTGAGTGTTTCATAGTCACTGCACAAGGTGGTTCTCTCAAACACTTCAGTCGTCCTTACTTGTGTGATTGTGAAGGACAGGACTGTGGTTTTTTCACCACTTTGTCAAGGATGCATGAAGAGGGAATCTCAGGAGTAAGAGCAGCAGGCTGAAAAGGCAGAAACATTAGGGTTTTTTTCTAGCTGTATCTGCAAATTTAGACTACCAGGTTATATCAGAAGGTTCACAAAAAAAGGGTTTCCATGTGGAAAATCTGTTTTTCCTTGTCTTTCTCCACACTTTAAAAAAATTGGGGTTTTCTTTTTCCCCATCCCTTGTCATTTTGTCTTTTACTATAGTGTTTTTCTTCTCCCATTCCTGTTTCCCTTGTTTCCTTTCTCTTTCAATACAATTTTCAGATCGTGAGGTTTGTACTTCCCCAGCAACCTTTGCTCCACTTTGATTTTTGCATCATGTTTTCCTTTAATATCTGCTTGTAATTTGTCAGTTCTTATTGATTTTTTTGGGTGGGCTTTTAATAAGGAAACTCGAAACTCTCAGCATCATGCTCAGCTATCAACTATTTTTCCAGCTACTGAGCTACTGAGCTGAGAAAAATCGAAACCAAAATCAAATTGAAAAGTTTAATAATATTTCACAATCTTACATGACCATTGTACAAATGAATATATGAAATTAACAAATCACTTTCTCTCTCTTGCAGGTCACCAAATCTCTGCTTATTTGATCTGAGCTCAAATTAAGCACCATTTTAAGAACAAAAGAAAATGACAGTTAGAAGAAGTCTCACTCGTCAACATTCAACATGAAATTTGTGTAAACGTATTTGTAGCTTATAAAATAAATATTTCATTAAAGAACAATATAAAATCAGTATTTGTGATTTTAATTGTGAGACATTTTGACTTTACTTGGATGGTCTAATATAAGTTCGTGTAGCAAGTTCATTGCAATGCCTGTATTTCTTTTTGTGCATCAGACAATGCATTGCAGCTAATGCATCCACAGAGCCTATGGGACTTAGATAAATGTTTTTTCATGTTCCACCTGGCGTATATGTATTTTGAGCTGCTCTTGTATTTTGTGCCAAGCTGATGTATTACACGAAGCTTTTTTTGACTTACAGATTTACACAGAATGTAGAGCCACAGCTGTAGTCCCAATTTATCCACAACTGTCTCCATGCTCTTCTCCAAAGCTCTTCTCAGTTTATAGTTCTAAAATTTTATGATCTTTTGGCTGGGACTGAAATGAAGCGTTTTGATGGATTTTCTAAGTAGAAATGTTGGCTTCTTGCCATTGTGGGGAGTTGTCAGGAAACCTCTGGGAAAAATGGAGAATCCATAAAGTTTGGCTATAACTTACATTGATTTCACAAGGACAGCTAAAAAATAGAGGAACAATATCAAAGTTCTCATTGCCCTCTTCCCTTCACAGGTTTATGATGCCTTGTATGTTTACTATCCATCTTCTCTTCTCTGTAGAAAATAATAACCAATAGTAAAATTTTATCACCTAAAGTATATTTTTAAGACAAAACCTATTATATTCCTTTTAAAAAACCAGGAACTATAAGTGCATGTGATAACGTTATTTATGCCATGGTATTTTCCTTCAGGACAGGGAAAATAAGGTTGCTGTATATTATCATGGGACTCCTACTTTAAAGTTTCTTTTACTTTGTTAGTTCCCTCACTGAACTAATACGTACATCACAGTCTGCACACTGTATCTTGACTTCCACTAGCAGAAACACCTTCTGATTAATTTATTTTCTTTTGGTTGCCAAGAATCAATCATCTATACTTTCATCATTTAAACTTACTTGCAAGTCCCTACACATTCAGAACAGAAAAAACCATCATCGTCTGTTACAATAGCTACAGGTGTTAAGGCTACTTGAACTTATTATTACTTGAAGAAGCCATAATACACTGTAATCTTTTCTTATGCCCTTACCTCATCTTTCATCGTGCAGGAAGGTGGCAGTGGTAGTGACAGGTAATGATCTCTGTTAGCTGAGATTTGTGAGGCACAGAAGCATTTTCCTTTACTGTCTTGAACTAAATTTTAGAAAATGGAGTCCTGCTGCTTATAGCAGAAAAAGCAGGTTATGCAATACCAGATGAGGATGACTAACTGTCCAGCTGAGCTTCCCTTTCTTACTATCAGTCTCTGTTGGTGAGGGCAAAAGGCTAGCACCTTGTTATTTCAAAGTGTCAGTAAATGTGTTCAGAGTAAGTACTTAGAAGAACGGAAAGCTGAATGTTAAACCATGAATCAAGTGACTGGGATGTATGGGGACGGCTTCGGTCAGTGATATCTTTGTCACATAAACCACTGAGTGACATAATTTTCAAAGCTATTGTCAGCTTTGCAGAAAACTGCTGTGGGGAACTATATAATTTTTTTTTAACCAATATCCCCTTGAAAACTGAACAGGGGGGGAAAAGGAAGGTATTTTTCTATAGTGTTCTTTATGCAATGCAACCACAAAGTACTGCAGGTTGATCATAGTGCTCATTTTAGAACCTTCACAATTTTGCCTAGTAAAAAGTACCTCTTCAGTACTATCATGTACTGATGTTTAGATACTGCATAAAATACACACATACATGCACACTCATCACTCCTCAAATCATTTCATCTGCAGCTACAGTTCTCATATCTCTGTAAGGAAGTGTGGCTGCGGAAGATCTCCGTCTCTTGCTCCTCGTACCCTTTTCCCTTCTCTTGCCATGTTTTAAAAAAGAAAATTATTTCATTAACCTCTCATATCTCTGTAAGGAAGTGTGGCTGTGGAAGATCTCCATCTCTTGCTCCTTGTACCCTCTTCCCTTCTCTTTTGTTTTAAAAAAGAAAATTATTTCATTAACCTCTCTTTCTCTCTGTTTGATAATTTTACTATGATGGTACGTATGCAATATTAACAGCAAAAATCAGATATAACCGCACAATATCTGTCCATTCATCTAGCTCATTCTCTCCCTTCTTTCTTTTATATTTGCCCTCTGCTTTTGGACAGCAAGAGTCAACTGCTCACTGAAGCATGGCAGAGCAGGAAAAAGAATGGAGTTCCCAGGGATGCCGCCTGCGTGTTCAGAAGCAGGTACTGGAGCGGGCTGCATGCATTGCTAGCAGCTACATTGCTTGACTTACATTTCCTCCAGAGACAGAATCATCTCAGCCTCCCAGCTAGACTAAGCCAAGATTTCTTGTTCTTGAACTCTTGGCATTCATTTCCAGGCATTTGATGTGTCACTGTATTTCTTTTTATTACATTAAGAAAAGAATACTACTTTTTTTTTTCATTTTAAACTTGTGAATTTGTATCCACATCACTGCAGTGAAATCAGCAACGCAGACCTTGCAGCTACTTTCATAAGCTGAAACTTCCCATTTTTCCATCACAGAATATGTGATCCGGGAGACTGTAGGTCTTCAATCTGGCACGTGACAATTCCGAGCACATCAGTGCAAATGTCACAGTAGTGCATTGGACAGCTATGCACCAACTCTGGACTATTTCTGTTTTTATAATAGTCATGGTTATTAGTGGCACATATGTAGCATGTGCCTTTTTATATATCTGTAAAAAGATGGAAAGGTCATGACCTCCTTAAAGCCTCTCTGGTTGCCTGTAGAAACAACATACGAATTAGCACGTGTCCAGTTTGCTGTTTTTCATCAGGTTCCTCATAAAACCCTCAGATGTTGCACCTTATACCAATCTTTTATTCTTCACATCAAACAACCATGAACAGTATTGTCCTGTCTGGACTGAATATGTTCAGTCATGCCTGACTAAAAACTTGCGTGCGTGAAACTTCAACCCTGCTTATCTTGCAATTTATATACGTGAAAACCAAATGGTTATGAGAAGTTCTTCCCCTGTTTATGAGAGTCCAACACATTGAATATCACTTTCATTTTTTTCAAGAAGTAGCACTTCACGAAATGGGTAGCTGAAACCCTAACTCTGAGTATCTTTAGTTCTTGAGAAGAGGAATTTGTATAACCCAATTTGTTCCAGCACTTTGTAGGGCAGGCAAAAAACCTCAGAAAAACAGCATAAAAAAGATGGTATCAAGCAAAGATCTGGCAGTTGTACTACTGAGAGTCATGCCATCATGAGATGCACCATAAATAGCAATGCTGATGCAGACTCCTCTAATACCACAAACTGTCGTCAGGAGGGAGATTTTCAAACACTAAAGCCGAGGATGCAGCTGGAATATAAAAATCTCTGAAAAAATAGTCAAGTCTCACACACCACTCAAGTTTGGTGACAAAATGCAGCCTGAGCAGAGAGAACCTCTGCAGATCGGTTCTTCGGTACTAACATCTATGGCCAAAGACAAATTACTCAAGCAGTCATCATTTCCATCTGTTACCACCTATTGGCACACAGGCAGAATTAGGAGTACCAACCACTGGAAAAGACCAATCATCAGCTGTTACTAGAGTTCGTATTCTTCCCACCTTCAAAGAAAGGATCCTGCTGCACTCCTTGGAGAGCTCTTCTCCATTTCCTATACAGGACTATGCACTGTCTCAGTAACTGCATCCAGCTCTTCAAGAAACAAGAGTTTTTTCATCCCTGTTGGTTAATGGTTCGCAAGTGAAAAATCTCTTTTCGCAGCTGTTAGGGCTCATTACCCCACCATATAAGCCTTGTCTTTATCCTATTTCAAGAACATGCTGGAGATCTTTAAGAACACTATCTGAGATCTGTAAAGCAGCAACATGGAACAGTGCACCATACTCTGACAAAAATTATACCCTCAGCATGGAACCCGTAGCAGATGTGAAGATCCGAATTGGCGTATTACAGTCAACTTTGACTAAAGACCGTGCCATTCCTTTCTCCATAGAGCGTGTGGTGGCTGGGGGAAAGATTGAGGCAGTTGTACATGCTGGGGTCCATGCTAGTAGGTTGCCAAAGGAAGAAGGAGTGGTTACTTCTTCAGTAACTGTGGTTCTTCTTAGTGATGTGACTAGCATGGATCCCATACCCAGCTTTCAGCTCTTGTGCTGAGTCCTCACCCTCAAAGGTTTTGAGTTCTGAAGGTATTAAAAGCAACTCTTGGTGCCTCCAGGTTTTATACCATTGCTCAGACGCCTGAGAGATCTTGCATGAGCAACATGTTTCAGTTCCACTGATGACTCTGATTTCACAACTACTCAATTTTTACTTTCAGGCACGTGCTTTTATAATGAGAGTCCTCATGACAGCATCAAATCATTGGTTATAATGCCTGGAAAGTTAATATCGCATGCCCAGTAAGAACAGTGCGCAGCAAACACACAAAATACTACCCTCATGTTCTTTCAAATATGAGAAATAACTACAATCTTCCTAGTTCTGCCAGCAAAGTAAGCTTCAGCTAAATAGCCAAATCAAAGTGATCAGCGAAGTCAGCTTTGCAGGGAAAATCCTTAGCTTTTTATGTGTTTTTTTGGGACAGGGTGGGAAATAAATTTTTGCAAAACTGTATGATGTTATCCTTGTCTTTAGAATTACTTCTACTTTCATACTCATAGCTCAGTTTTGTCCGTGCATTTTAGTAGTAGGACATCTGAGAAGAAAGTGACAGCAGTTCATGGATTTGAGACTATGTTGGCCAGACGTCTTCAGTATAACTACACACTACTTTTTTGCATAACTCATTTTTCAGTAGCATTTAATCACTTTTCCCATGAATAATTTCACCATATAGCAAAAGCACTGTAGAATAAATAATCCAGGATTTGGTGTAACGTCATCCAACTGAAGTGAAAGCAATGAAATGTTTCTTAAAATCTCAATATTTACGACTGTTACCTGTTTAGTGTATGTGTGATATAAAATCCCATATATAACCTGAAATATATTACTGAATGCTAGCTGTATAGGAAATAATTTTGTTGATTTATATGTGAAGTGCACTTGGTATGAACATGACATAGCACCTGTTACCGTTGGTAAGTGTATATACCATGTACATGCATGCACACCAAAGCAAAGATTATGACTGTTTAGTGGGAGGAAGAGAAAAGAGAAGTCTGCAGATGCTTTTAAAGATTTTTGTTCATGGGAAACAGGCGCTGTATAATGTATTTAATGAAGCCTTAAGAATTCATTTTGAGGCCAAAGAAATATATTTGGTAAACCTGCTCTTTCCTTCCTTTTTTCTCTCTCCAGCTCAGAACACTGGAATCTCAACTTTGTACAGGAATTCGTATGGTGCACCTGCTGAAGATATCAAACACAACCAGGTAAGTATGGAGACTAAAATGTTACTGTTCCAGATGGGAAAAGACCAGTGTAACATCTTGTGTGGAAACTAAGAAAAATATCACAGAGAGGATAGATTAGAGGAACTGAGTCATCTGCTTGCGCAAATGCAAGCAATTCCACTGGCTTCAAACAAGCCCAAGTTTCAAAAAATGTCCAACAGGTTATGACAGCATATGCACAAAGATTATCTAAGGTGTTTAAGCCTGTAACTCATAATGAAGTCAAGAGGGGCTTGAGACCTGAATGCCTTTAAAGTCTGGATATGTGTGACACAGACTACAAAAGCCAAGCTAATGTTAATGGGCACTTCTTCTGGCTCTGGTATCTCGTGATGTCCTGTGCCAGTGAATTTGGTTAAGTCCGGTCACATCCTATTACTTGAGTATAGCCATCATAAAGCTCAATGCCACTGCTGACACCTAGCAGAAACTCAAGTATTTAACAGTCCTGCAGAAAGAACCCCCTGTATCTTTTGCAGGGACGTGTACGCTACACTTATGTGTAGTAAAAGCCCTCAGATTTGCCATTTAGTCACTCCAGAAGCATGATTGTAACAAGGCTTTTTGCTTGGCTGTTTTTTAATGTATGCATTGGGGCATAGGCAAGAGAAAATGTAGCATTTCATCGGCAAGGATGCATACATCCAAGCCACTCGATCTACAGCTTTGGGACTCTTTTAAAAATGTCCTGTCCCTGAAAACCAGAAAGCAATAAGGACATCTGGATAAGGTGGGCATTACAAAAATGCGGTTGGCAGCATGGGTGCCAAGCTAATGTACTCACAGAAAAAGTCGCAATATTGACATATATGGCATTCATATAGCTGGTATTTCCAGTATAGTATTTCCTCAATCCCTGGGAAACAGACATTTTTCTGCACCCATAGGCTTTTGTTTCATCATTATATGTAATGCTACTTTATACTTAATTATCACAACTCCTTAAGATTTTCACAACTTCCCTACGTAATATGCAAAAGTTACAGCATTTTTCAACTAGAGAAATGAGACAAAAACCATTTAAGGAAAGTACTTAAAGTGATTAGTAATATCAGACAGGTAAATGAATATTTAGTAAAATTGATAAAAAAGGTTTTTCTCTGAAAATTTTTACTAGATTACCTGAAATTTCAATTTAAAAGACTGATATTTCAGTTTTAATCCACAAACTTAAGGTGAAGAGAGTTTCTGATATTCTGTGCCCCCATTTCTCTTTATAGGTTTTGCTTTTTAATTAGCCAGTATTTCCTGTGGTGCACCATATTCCTTCTTTGTGTGAGCCAGTTCAGTGCATGAAGGTGTTTCTGCTTTTATTGCATTTAAAGAGATGAAGCCCTTCAAATTAACACAATATTTAGAGAAAATAAGCGTATGAGGTATTGTAACAGCAGGTGCACTCTAATTGCAGTCGTGAATCAACTACTTTGATTTTTGGAGTGAGAGATTGAGGAAAACCAAAACAAATTTAAAAAAAACCCAACACCAAAAAACAAAACCAATTTTCCACCTTTTCCCACTTGCTTTCTCAATGAAATGTCAAGTTTATGATTGACATATCAGAAATAATGTTTTTAGCTAAAAAGAACCCAGAAATACTACTTCAGTCCCCTATTTTCTACTCAAAAATTGACCATCTCTAACTCTTTGGCATATAAATAGGTTGCTTAGTATAGAATTTGTCTCCTGTGTCCAAAATTAAACACCTGTGTTTGAATATGTGAGATGAAACAAGGGGCTCAAGGTCCTATACACCTTGATAGCAGTACCAGAAATAGAGGCTAGAGTAGCTGTGCTCCCTTGTGCTGTTCCAATATTGGGCCCAGCGTTGTACGATCACCGGCAGGACTATTAAAGGCCATGGAGAGCCTTTTGCACTCTATGCATAGAGTCCAATACAGACATGCTTTGAAAGAGTATCACAGAGTTTGGGACATAGCAGTGCAACTGTTCCTCTCTTCTTGAAGGAGCATTACTAACTCTTGCAGAGTCAGCAGGATCTGCAAAGTCTCCTGCCACCAACGTCTGAGCATCACTGTTCCCAGTGACGACCATTTGTGGATTGAAAGGCTGTATCATTTTGCAGTCACAAAGTCTGCCCAAACTTAATAGAGGTGGCATCGAGTGAAAGGTAGTGTTCCGGCTATAAAAATGGAGACTCGCTAGGGCTGTCTGAAAAAAACTTTATGAAAAACTTTATGGCAAACTTAGGTTAGGGGACCGCCTGAGATTTTTTTTCTGTAGATCATAAATATTTCAGCTTCAAGGCAACTTGCTGGAATGTAGCAACAACACAAGATTGCCCACGACGTGTTAAGGAGGTGGTAAGAAGATGGTTCTGTTTAACAGTAGCAGAAGAACACATTTCAGGGCACTTAGCTTCAAATTTTCTCATGTCAATGCCCTGAAGACTATAAGTGGCTCTTAAGGATACGGTGTCACTCTAAATCTCACTTGTGGCAAAGGCAGCTGCAAAATGTTTAGCATGTTTGGAGTGTATATCACTTCCATTCAAATTCTTCAAGGCTGAGTTTTGGCCACCAATGTTTGCATTATATAGCTGCAAAATAGTCAGAAAGCTATACACAGATTATAGTTATGAAAGTAACTGTAAGCTATGCTGCTTGAACTACTTTTGAAGTAAACCAGCATCTTTAGCAGCAATAATATTAAATAATAAATGCATTTAATAATAATATTAAGTAAATGAATGTAAAGAAATGTAATGGCAAGGCAAAGCTGTAGAATTAATTCACTACCATGTAATACCTTGAGCAGATGTTAAGATAATGCACAACTTGTATTTCCAGCATGATAAACGTAGAGTGAGATTTACTCCTTCTTCCATCCTGTTGCCTACAGTAAGTTGTATCTAACAAGCCGTGGGTATTACTGTATTTCAGGTTTCAACACAGCCAGTTCCACAGGAGCCCAGCAGAAAAGATTATGAACCGTATCAGCCGTTTCAGAATTCAACAAGAAACTATGATGAGTCCTTCTTTGAGGACCAAGTGCATCATCGTCCACCTGCAAGCGAATACAACATGCACCTGGGACTAAAGTCAACTGGCAACTATGTCGACTTCTATTCAGCTGCTCGTCCCTATAGTGAACTTAACTATGAAAACTCTCCCGACTCCTGGGTTTGAGACTTGGGCAGATACAAAAGCTCCAGGAACTGTGCATGTGCATGCATACCACGAGACATTTTTTTCCTGCAAATTTAGTTTGTTAAAGCCTGTTCCATAGGAAGGCCCAGATAACCAGTATGGAAAAAATTAAGAGATTTTTTTAGAAGGCTAAAAGATACGAAAGCTAAACCTGGGAGTAATTAGAAAGAAATATATATATACATATATATATTTTACAGTGTGGGGCAACTTTACTGTTGGCCTGTAGAGTCTAAAGTTCGGTGCTGTATATTGAATGTGGCTGAAGGAAGGAGGGAGTACATGGCAGTGGATGTGGGTCAAGAGTTAAGCACAAGTAACTGAGCAGCGTACATACTTTATGGGGAACAGCTTCTCACACTTTGTTTAATATCCTCATTCATTGTGAATCTAGGCTTCAAGTTGCATTTGGGGTTTCCTCTGTACAGCAAGATGTTTCTTGCCTTTTGTTAATGCATTGTTGTAAAGTATTTGATGTACATTACAGATAAAAAAAAACAAGTGCATTGTGTATATTACACCAATGCCACAGTGTTTCTTCATCTATGGTTCTAAATATTGCTTCAATTTCAAATTTTGAAAGATGTATGAATTTCCAGGTTTTTGTTTTCTTTTCCCCGGTGCGTTTTAACAAAAAAAAAAATTCAAAAAAAAAATCAAAAAAAAACAAAAAGGAATATTTAGCAGTATTGTTCGTTCTGATATGTGAATTTGTTTGTGGCAACTAAAAAAAAAGGCATTCAGCAGTTTCTGACAATTAACATTCATCATTCCACACTCCTTGTCAACGAAGTGCTTTTTCACTGCCTAAAATTTTAGATGTAGATATTTGAAATAGATTTTTTTCATTTATACCAGTTTTCTTTATGATGATACAGTGTTAAAAGAAAATAAATTACAATTGATCTGTCATCCATATTTGCTAAGAATGTCTATTTCCAAGAACCTACCATACAAATACACATTCTTACTTGTGTGTGTCCACGTATGCATAGTATTCTCTGTGTGCGTGTGTGTGTTTGAGTGTGTGCGTTTGTGTGGCGTAAGACTTCTTTTCATCCAATGTTTTCCTTGTTCAAGCTTCAATTTTTGTTTGATTTTCAGTTTGTTTAAACAGTGGAAACTCCAGTATGTGCTTTCTCTTACTCACTTTCTTAACCATTGATAGCAATTCAAAATTGTTAGGCCACATACTCACAAAGGAAGGGGTTCTCGGATTTTTTTCACTGACTCCTTCACCCTTAGGTGCCATTTCCTTTAAAATAGCATCTCTTGATCTTCTCTTGAGGAAATTTCATTACTCTCCAGCCACCAACCTACAAGTGCTCAAGGAAGGCAGAGTTTCATTTTGCCATCTCCCTGAGGGAATGGAGAACAAAGACCCAACAGACTTAAGTCTGGAGTCTCCAAACTCTTAGGGCTGTAGAAGAGTCCAACTCGTGAACCATTAGGACAATCATTTATTTTAACCCATACCAAAAAGAAAACCCGATACCCAAAACACATTCCTCGAATATGAAAGATAACGACCATTTCTGTGCATTTAAAGTAAAACCCTGAAAAATAAAAAATGTAAGGGACAGAGTTTTTGGGTTTTGTTTTTGTTTTTTTTTTAATTAAAAAATAGAAAAGGAAACTAGGCTAGGAGGCCAGAAGAGCTGGCATATTCATCTTAGCTCTTGGGATTCTGGAAGTAAAAAAAAGAATCTAGCGTTTCTTCATTTCTTTGATTCAGGCAACAGTTCAGCATACAGTTTTCACAGCATAAGACCCACCACAAATGGAGTAGTTGTAAATTGCTTGAATTACAATTAAGGAATTTGTTTTAGGTTGCAAACATTTCTGTGATTAGTCATTGTAATAGTCTTAACATCACCTGGCACACTTCTGGCTGTGCACAGGGGGAGAAGTCTCTCGCAAGTCATCGCCTGCTCTATAGGATGCAGCCCGAGTAGTTCACGCAGGCGGGTATCGTGACGTAGAATTGGTTTATCGGTAATCTAGGACTATAGTTTAATCTTTTTGGCAGCTTTTCCCAGTGTACGATATGTAACCTTATCTGCTCTTTGTAGTAAACGGGGAAAAAAATCGCATGCAAAAAAATTTTTAAAAATTTAAGAAAGGGTGGGTGGGAGGGGCAGAGTGGGCCAGATGTATAGTGAGGTAGATAAAAATATTATTCATAGTTTTGGACACAGGTTGTTTATATTTTATTTATTACATTGATTTTAATAAGATAAGTGACATTTGCAGTGCTCTTTTGAACAAAGCACATTTTCAGTATAAAAACTTTTTTTTAATAAAGAATGTCACTCGCAACTTGAAGTTCTTCTTGACTGCCTGATAGCCACCAGGCTGGTGCAGTTCTCCAGGCGCAGGATTGCTAACAGGCCGAGGGGATCCGTCATTCTGTCTGAAGTTCTTAAGACAGGAGGTTATTGTAAGTTGGATTTATTTCCATTCTTCAAACTACTGAAATGCCCACATTGCCCCCCTTTCAGCTCCTCTTAGGAATTACTTGGAGTCAGATGTTGACCATTGCTCAAGTGAGAGATTCTGGATTGATGAAGTGGCATAAAATACCTTTTGTCTATAGTTTGTGTTGTTTTGTTTCCATTCTTCTGTAGTGGCAAGTGCTCCGACTGGTAACGTTCACTCTTGCTGTACTGAGTTGTGAGAAGGTGTTGAATTACCCGGCTTCTTTTCCAGGCTTGGAAGTCCAACACTGCTGCCATACTGAGCAAGATATATATGATGCATTCTTTTCAATATTGAGGAAAGTATCATTACCTATTGCTGTTCCCTTCATTCTTGTACTAGATCACACACAGAAATAGAGAAGAAACAAAACTGTTCCAAAAAAAATGTATAAAATGCAATTGATGTACTGTAAAATGTTGGATTTTTTTTTAACAAGCTTCGTATTGGAATCTTGTTCAGCTGTGTAGAGCTATATAAATCTCACTGTTTTATTAAATGCTGTTTATGGTCTGGAAGGAATGGTTAACCTATCTCAAGATTAACAAATTTGCACTAACATGAGCAATATTGATTTGAAAAAAAAAAATTAATTCAATATTTAAAAGATAAACTATGATTTTAAAGGTATATTAACACTGAAAGTACATTTTGACAAATGACATATTTAAGCCCAAAATATAAATGGTTATGTCAGATAACACAAAAGAACTATAACAATATAGATTGAGAAAAAAAATGTGTTTCACTGTACATGTTGCTAACATGTACAAAGACAAACTCATATTGACATATTTTCTATTAATAAATCCTACTGTATTGTGGAGAATCGCTGGTCATAGTGCAATATGTTTAAACTTAGAAGTTGACTCCATAGATGATGCCTAGCTTCACACAGCCAAGAAACCCCTGCAATTTATTTATTTAAATGTTAATCGGATAGCTAACTTTCAGCTCTCCAGTCATTCGCTGCCCCCTCCCTCTCCACCAGGCTTATGAGCACAACCTACTCTACAACAGCAAGCGAAGGGGAAAGGTATTTTTGAGAAGAACACCCAGTTCTCCCCTAATGATGGCTGCAAGAGCTCAGTGCCACCGCTTACACAGAGATGATAGTTTATCTACACCTGTAGAAAAAACTCAAAAGCTCAAGGCCGGTGCCACTGGCTGGAAACATGCTGTAAAAAATACGATCTTGGCCCCAACGTTACGTAGACTGCGGCCAAGAAACGAAGAGTGAGCCATTAATTTCCTCGTGCGTTGCTGGGAGTCCCAGCGTGCAGTGCATGTAAGGGCTCGGGAATAATTGTTTCCTGGGACTGGGTTGCATTAGCCCGCAGGAGCGTCTCGCCGGGGAGGCTTGCAACTCAAATCAGAAATGCTGACTTACTTTTTTATACCTTGGCACAGCACAGGCTGTGCAAGCCAGTGCGCTGCAAGGGAGGCTTCCTCAACTCCTCCGCCCGTTACTCATCCTCTCGTGCCAGCAGGCAGAAAGAGCTCAGAGTTTAGTGTTCTTGCTTATATCACGGGGAGCGGTGAGAGGAGTGGTGAGAGTGGGAGGGATGGAGACAGCAATCCAAAGAGGGGGAACAAACGGGGCCTAAAAATACAGAAACTCGGAGCTTGTGCGTGAAGACAGATACACACCCATAATTACTAACAGTGGAATGGACCCAACAAGAGATTTTATGCACCGAGATTATCAAATATTACTAACAAGCTCATACACTGAACATTTAATAGCAGCAACATGATGCACGCAAATCTTTGTGCTAGGAAAGTGGGAGGGAGCAGCAGAGGGAAATCAGAGGTCACTGTTGGGCACTTCCAGCTTCAGTCAGCAGAAGATGTTGGGCATGAGGGCAGCGACTGCCTACTGCTGTGAAGGAGAGAGGAGAGGGATGAGACTCTTGATCGAAGACTTTAAGACTAGGTCAAAAAGACATTAGGCAGCTAGAACAGAGGCAACTTTTTGCAAACCTCCCCCCTTGCCTCACCATCCTCAACGGCAGAGTGTGGTCCCCCCAGCAGGCACACGGACACGGTGCACACGAGGGACCCAGCTTCCCATCAAGGACCCAGCTTCAGAAGGCCTTTACTCTCAGCTGGGCAATACCCGGTACAGGTGCGTGTCTGAGCGGCCACCCGTGCTGAACGCTGCCGGTGCCGGGGCCGGGCTTGCTGAGGAGCGGCTCCAGCTGCTTGCACTTTGAAGCCCAGCGTTTTCCCTGCAGGCCAGATGAGCACCAATGTCTGCTGAAGAACTGTGCAGTGCTGGCTCTTTTCCAGGGGACTAGCCAGTTTTTAAATAGTGGCCTAAAGCCAGTTTCAGACATTTAGGCTGAAAGTGACTGATTGTTGCAGCTAATTTCAGTAGCCAGATGGGTAGTCTCAGACACTGGAATACCTTTGTTTTCCAGACAGGCAAAATCTGAAGCTTGCCACTAAATCTAGGAAAGCAAAATAGCAGCTGTTTGCCGATTCACTATTTTTCACAAATTCAATTAAAATATAATTCACATAAGCCTTTTCATTTATACATAGCCCAGTGACTATGGGGGTTGCTTTTTACATAATTTACTTATTTTACATGAATGTTTTATAGGCAGAAAATATCGATAACTAAACACGTCAAGACAATAACTAACACATCAAGGCTGAAGAGAACATGTGTGGCAGAGAATTCAGGCTACTGTGTACAGACACCATCAATTATTACCTCTCTTTGACATCAACTGATAGAAAAAAAAAAAAGAGCAGCTACTGTATGAAGCCTAACACCTTCCATAGCAAATATAAGTCCCTTTAAAAAAAGACTTACACCCTTCCCCCCCCCAAAAAAAAACCCACAGCCTTTTCCTCCAAGCTACCCTGGGTTTGACTTTTTATTGGGGTGGCAGGAGGGGAGGAGAATTTACATTATACGCAATATTTGAACAATGATGTTTTGTGTTGCTTTTGTTTCTGCCTGAGGTCTGTGAATGTGAATAAGGCGGCCACGCACTGTAGTGCTGTAGCAGCATCAAGCAAATCCAAATACGGAAAATAACAGCCACATTACAAAATCTGACAAACACCACTTCTAATATCCTGGCTACCACTGCAGGCTCGCCATCACGGGAAAGAAAACAAAAAAAACCAATGGCTGGTTCTGTGGAAATAACAGCCTCCTGTTGCACAGACGCACCCGCACTCGGCCAAGAGTTAAAGGAGCAAAGAGTGCAAAAGCCGCTGTGAAAAGCCCCGCTGACTCGGGGTGCCCGCAGCCGCGGGGCCGAGCAGGGCAAGCGGCGGCAGGGCGTGGG